CTGCAAGCTTGGATTTGCACGAGTCATTCAAGCAAGTGGGCGATACGACCCAAAATACCGGACCAGCCAACAAGTGATAGGTTCATGCAAAAGGAATACCACAAGCACCCTAAAGGGGCTTGCCCAAAACCGATGTTGATCTATCTGCAAGAAATCCCTGAACCCATACCCATCCGACAACTGCAGTCACACGCGCAAACAAGGCAGGTTCTCTATCCTCCAATCCGAAATGGTCTGGCGGGTGCTTTGTGAAACCAGCGACCCACTTTCGATTGGCCATGTGTCAAACTAGAAAAGCACCTTTCGAGTCCGCAAAGACCACCACCAAAAAGAAGCCACACCATCTCATCGAGTCCGTTGTTTTGACACATGCCGAAGTGAATGTGCCTCACTCAAATGGAGGACACTTCCCAAGCATTTCAGTAGGAAACAACGGTCCTGCGGATTAGTCCGAACATAATTCAGTAACTCACAAATCGGAAACAAGGAAAAGACCTTCATCATGCAGTCTTTGCTCATTTTACTCCGAATCGGCGAGCTCGTTGGAATTTTCCCAGACACATCCGGGCAGGATGTGAATGGAACTTCCCCAACACAATAAAAAAGGAGATTCCCGTCAGTGCAGTTCTTGGGTTCCATGCACATATTCTCAGGTACCCCCTTCGCTGGTGGCTTGGATTGGGAGTTTGATTTGGATTTGATCCCCTGGTTGCTGTAGAGGGTAAATGGGACACCACCTAACCCTAAACCACCTAACCTCCAAACCACCAACTCCAGGGAAGCAGAAACTGCACACCCTCTCAAGCCCTATAGCGCAGGTGAGCATGCGCACCTGTCAGGCATCACCGCCTGAAGTAGGGCTGCCGCATCGTCCGCGTAGTCCTCCATCGTGCAGGGCTCGTCCTCCGAGCCACTTCGAGGAACAGAACGCGGCGACAGGCGGCTTCTTCATTTGGCTGTGGGTCAACACCCTGTACCCCTGGTGAACATCAAAATAAGTGGCAAATGGATGTTCATCCACCCCAAAATGGAGCCATAGGTTATGGCCATTTGGAATCCAAGAATGGGGAAGACCATGGAAGACCAGAAGAAGTTTTTTGGGTGTGTCCGAGAGGAGAAGCATCACCAGCTTTCTGCCAACGTTGGAAAGGAGCCCATCAGTTGGAGACAAACCCAAACGAAGGAGAACGAACAAGCGAATGTGCCATCCTTGGAAACACTGGGCATAGGCTGTGAATTTGCTCAATCAGCACGAAGTGAACTTTTGAAATCGAGGCATGGATGGCCTGCCTGGCAAATGTTGGTCGACTTTCACTGACAGCGCACAAGTTGCTGGCATGCAAGCTTCCAAGTAATTATTCCGCCTCCCAGCTTCGGTCCGTGGTAGGACGTGTCTGAGCAGCTTCCGAGTTACTTTTTCAGGCGTCGGGAGCCATTTGCTCCGGTGGATCTGCATGGCCCTACATTGATACAGGGCTTTGCGGGTCGTTGGTCGCTGCCGGCAAGCAAATGCCACAACCCATTTCAGCAGTACTCACCTCCAAATGAACATGGAACCCCCAAAACCGGTTTTTGTTCCATCCTTTTTGGAACCCCTTGTAGTGCTCAACCAGGAGAAGCCGGCACGAAAAGGAGGGAAACCACATGGAATCGACATGACTCGACTGCTCGCAGTTGTCCTTGATGGTCGATCGCCCGCTATTACGGTGATCATATGCAAAGACCTCCGGCAAAAAAGCATGCAACCTTGTCACCCGGGGGAGGTGCTCGCTTGAAACTGAGGGTGCTTGTCCACTCCCGGGATTGAACACAGCCATAAGATCCTCTTGGAATGGCCCCAAGTGATTTGAGTGGGGCATGCTGCATGCTGTCAAGACAGCCACTGACCCCGGAACTCTTTGAACCAGGCCCTGTGCGATCAAGGGTTCAAACCGAACAACTAACCAACATTGAACCCCCAAAGTGGGCCTCTGAAAAGGAGCTGGGCCCGCAAACAGTATGGTTTCCGAAGGTTGCATGCTTGGTTAGGTTGAATATTTGTTGTCCGCTGAGTACATTGCACTGCTTCTTCCTGACAACCCTGTAAGTTCAGTGATGGTTCCATAGTGGGAAAGCAGAATCTCAGACGCATCATGTTGTCTTGGATTGCTGCCGGTTTCCATTGCAACCTATCTGCATGCAGGGCTACAGCTTGCCAGCCGAAAGATTCGGAAATGAGAGGATCGCTGCATTCCTTTTGTTTCTCTGGAACACACCATGTAACATGTCCTTGTTCAATTTTAGGAGGCCCCTAGCTGAAAAAGACACGGACCCTTTCCAAGAGAACTTCACAGGTGGAATCGCAAGGGCTTTTGTGCATCCAGTTCGCTGTTTGCTCCTTCTCCTAAGGTCCTGACGCCAAAACGTCGCTAGCCCGTTGCAAGGGCGCCCCTTTCTGATTGGTGGCCCAAACGCCCGTTTTGGGGGATTCAAAGCCTGGAAATCTCAAGCCCGGCAAAAGGCCAAAGCAGTGGGAATCAGTTGTTTCCCTCACAACCAATGAAGCTGAGAATACAAGAAATACAACCAAAGGATCCAGTCACTCCGATTGATCAAGAGGACTTCGGTGGACCTTCGCGGGGTGAGTCTTCCAACTTCTCCCTTGCTCGTCTGCTGTTTCTCTCCGCAGGCCACACAAACACAAAGATGATACTTCTGCCGCGCCGTTTTTTTTCCCCACAGCTCAAAGAAATCAACAGGCAAACGGGCGGAGCCCCGCGCCAGAAGACTGGGACACCTGGAAAGGCTGAGTTCCTGCGCCTCAGAAAGGGGATGCCGACCTACGAATCCAAAGGCCAAACACCGGAGCCAAGTGCCACCCAGGTCTGGATGGGTTTCTCGCTGCTGCTTTATCTTAGGAAAGGAAATCGAAAGCGCTCCAGTTCTTGGGCCCGTTCTCTTTGAGGGCACACTCATATACTCAGGGTGCTTTGTCTGTGCTTTGAGGCACTCAGAATCCAGAAAGGGGAATGATGAAACTTGCTTGGCCCAGAATGTAACGTTTAAGCCACGCCAAATGGGCATATTCTGAGGAACCCTGATCCTTGGTCCATAAACCTACTCCTAGGATTTGGATACTTTCTGCCATGCTTGTAGGTACGGGCACAGGGTAAGATGGTACCAACGCCCCTTACCTTGAGGCCAACCAAAGGCTAGAAAACGTGAAACTAGAAATGGGGATCTCCAGGGTCACCCTCTCTGAATCAATCTTTCGAGGCTTGGGTGCAGTAGATCCCCCAGCAAAAAGTTCAACTTGTTGCTGGTTCAAAGGACATATGAAGGGAATCCAACAAGTTAAAGTCTAAAGATCCAACCCAATAGCGGTAGAGAAGGAGGGGATGTAGCGAGTTTCTCGATTCTTTGTGGCTCAGGTCCGGCCTTCAGCATCCCCACCCCGGCGTTCACGAACTGCTGGTCCGTGGTCTTCCGCAGATCAGCCACGGAGCCCAGCAGTAGGAAGAGCACCTCCTCCTTGTCGCCTCCAAAGGGCAGACCACCACCTATGTGTGTATATAGCGTATGTGTATAGCGTGTATATCATGTAAACACACATATATGCACATCAGCTTCACATAACTAAATCTGTCTCCGAAGGTGTACCGCCCAGCTTGGTTACACGAGGCATTCTAAACCTCATTCCAAAGTTGTTGGGCTATGGATGGCCATGCCACATACATGCTCCAAGCGCTTGGCAATCCCACGGTGCGCTCCACTACCGCCTTCTGAATCTCTGCAGCCATGATTCCTTACATCATTGCTAACAATTCCACTTAGCCACTGCCCAGACCATTCCCCAGGCCGACCTAGCCTCTGGATACATTGTGAGCACCAGAAACACAAACAAAGGGACCACCACGGGTGTGCTCGCTCACCTCAGGTAAGCGTCTTATGAATTGCCCTAACTTTTTTGGCAACAAATGCGTAGGTGAAGGAGGCCAAGAACAAATGGGCGCTCAGAGATGAGGCTTTGTCTCAAGAGTTCACAGCGAGAGAACCTCCTCGTGTAATCCGCACGCCAGCACAAAGGGCCCGCGAAACTGGAAGCTTGGCCAGGAAGCTTCTCTTGAGAAAAGCTGGACAGCAAACAGCTGAGCAGTAGCTCGTCTGGACCAAGACCTCGAATTGAAAACCCTCGTGATGCGAGCTCAGCAGCTTCGCCCTTCAGATTTTCGGGGTCGAGATCATTTCACATCCCCCCGTGTCTTGAATGTAGAATCAGCAGTGATTGAGGTTTCAACATCCTGAAAAAAACATCTGAAAACCTGCCGACCCTCTGACGTCCTAAGCGTCCTTGCCTTGAAAATCACGCCGCATTGGGCCTTGAATCTCATAGTAGAGCTTGACGCCTGAGCCGCTGAATGCCGCATTGCGCATTGGGTCCTTGAACTTTCATTACGTTGAGTCTGCATTGCTTGACCCCGTCCTCATACATGTCACTGCTTCTAGCCACACTCCCCCGAGAACAGGGACCGTTTTGGGGAGAATATGAGCGCACCGCCTGGTCAAAATGCACTTTGATGTGGCACCTTCTTGCCTGTCTCGTAGTTGCCCTAAGCTCGGTAAGAGAAACTGAGCAAGGACTACACTACAAACGGATTAAAACACACTTGCTCCAATGACCTGGGAAGAACAGATGACACCTGTTGGCGCCATGACTTAGACTCGACCAAAGTTGGTAAACCGAAAGGTCCTTTCTGGTCGATTTGCGTTGTGCAGAAGTGAGCACATGATGGGTCCAATAAAAAATGCAGCTTCGAGAGGTCAAGACAACCCCACTAATATTGACCCTGGATTAACGAACCGCTGGTTGATTAATACTGTGGATGGACGAAATCCTGCACCACCTACGAAGCCTTGGGATGCTGACTCTCCTGTAAATACCAACAAACAATGCTTTCCCATGCTTTCAAACTGGTTCATGATTTCGTCCATCCGCAGTAGGGCGGGTGTCCCATTTTCGAGGGATCCTTTACTCGGAAAGGGAAGGCCCTGCAGACTATACTCATCAGCATAGGCGTCCTCTTAGGGGAAATAGATGGCCCTGGTAGATGATTAAACCACCAGGTAAACCAGGGCCATCTATTTTTCTACCAAAGCAACACAAAAGGACACCTATGCTCATCAGGGGTCCAAACCTGTCACCGAAATCACGTCGAAATCACGTCGAGGTGCCTCGCTCCGGCAGCTCGCAGAAATGGCCCTGAACCGCTTTGGGCGCCATTGCCGCGTGCCTTAGGCGAGCACCGCCTTTGATAGGCGGCGAGGCAGCCACAAGTGGCCAGCTTACGTGGAACCTACACGTCCAGCTTGTAAAATGGTGTGCGGAATAGGATGTGTGTGCTTTTAGGCTATCTACTCGACGCACGAAGCGGTGCCCGTTGTTGCGGTGATGGTGTTGTTGGCGGTGTCGGTGAAAAACTCCATTACCTCAAAGTTTCATTTGTTATCAGCTGGGACGCTTTTGCTAGCCCTATGCTGCCCGGGTTCTTTGTGCTTGGAAAGAAAGAGCAACGTGGTGTTACCTACTTGCCAATGTGGTAGGGCAGCACGCTGCCTTGCCAGCCGGGCTCATCATAAGCCGAACATGCATTGTTTGTAGCCAGTGAAATGCAGCTGGGTCTATATTCTGAGTTTGGCCATACAAACAACAGGGTCCGGAAAATGATAGAAGTGGCACCTGGCAAAACACAAAGCAAATAGATATTGCATCTGGAACCAGTGAGCAACTGTGCCGGGGTTGTTTTTCTCCAGCAAAATGGACTTGAGCAAAGTTCCAGGGCCGGAGCGATGCAAGCTGAGCGAACCAACCAATCTGGCTGAATGAAATATACAACTCTGTAATTTATATAATCCTGCTTGGTTTGGCTGTGGTCAAATGGCATGTCACCAAGTGCTGCAGTCAGGATACGATGTACAAACCAACATGCATTATTCACATTCAGGTTGCCTCAGGCTGATGTGGTTAGACTAAGACTCGGCCATTTCGAGCGTAATTTGGTGAGTGTCAGCCTGTTGGTCATTGGACACCAATAATCGATCAATACTGGCTCGTCTCCAAAACAACATGTGGAAACTTCCAAATTTATGTTTTTTCCCCCTTGGTTTCCCTTCAAAGCAACGCTTTGAAGGGGTTCCCAAAAGGACACCGCCATCTTGGTGTGCACATGCCCCATGGCATGTCGCGGGCTCTTGCTATCAAACCCTGTGGGCAAATGCACGCGGAAAAACGGTCCCAGGTTCTCTCAAATTCGGCGGAAAGTAGGGGGTCTTCAGGAACAAAATCTGAACTACATATCCCTCGCAGTTTTCTTTTTAGGAACAGAAACGATCAGCGCTGACATGACTGCTTGCGGACATTCTGAAGAATGCGGGTTTGCTCTACGTGGGCGTGTCATTTTCCGGCTTCATTTTTTGGGGCTTTTTTGAAGACAACCAAAAGGACACTCGCAAGTAGCTGGGGTCCCCTATGTTCAGACACATCCAAACTTTGAATCCAGCCTCTCAACTTCTAACTCAACTCAGCAACACTACTGCCGCGTGAGCTCAGTGCCCACTCGACCGATCCACAGCAGCGTCACATCTTTTCCGTCGTTGGCTCACAAGGGCGATCTGTCCGACTCGAGGGCGATCCACTTTTGTCATGCAGTCTAAGCACTCCAGCAAATGTACTGAAAAGTGAGTGACATAGAACCTTGCCCATCTTTGTACATATACACTCAAATAAACCGCTTCACTGGACAAGTTGACTCTGTTTGCTAGTGCAAGGACAAACTGGAGACATGCATGTTCGGGCTCAGAACTCGTAGTAGTTCATGTCGGGTCCCGGGTTTTGCCTCAACATCTCTGTCTCTCTCTCTCTCTCTCCCGGGAAAGCTGCCGTCCATTTGCCGCATCTGCCTCCTGCCATGGCAGACCTTCATGTTGACCCCATATTAATCAACCTCTGTGTATTTATAGGGGGTGGCCGCTGGGTTTAAAGCTGCATCTCCGGGCTGTTTGACCAGGGTCATCTGGCTGATCATATGCGAGCGAGCAAAACACTCGCTTGCAGAAGCAGGGCCAAAGCGCCTGATTTCGCTCGGCTTGAGCGATCCGGAGGCCACACCCATGACTTCACACCACCTGAATGACTCGAAGCATATATTGCGAACACCCGAAACAACAAAGTCTTTTGGAGTGCTCATGAAAAGGACACCAGAGGACACCACGCTTTTGGGATCATAACATGAAGTTCATCAGCCATGGGTTCTTTGAGGGTCGAGATAGACAAAACCAGCAGCTCAGCGATCAGGTGAGTGAGCAACATTTCTGGAAGAGCCGCTGATGACTTGGACAACCCCTTCACTCCCCGGGTAGTAAGCCATCATGTTTCCACTAGACTAGGGGCTTCTGAGCCTGGACGATTTTGGTGTCCAGGCCCTTGGATGCAAATGGCTTCAAAACCAGTCAATATGTCCGAATCGGTGCGACTTTCAGAACCATGACCTTTTAGAGCTCCCCAGCTCCCAGCACCCTCGCCACCGTAAAGATTAAGGGCTATCAGTCATTTTTTGGAGACCAAAAAATACAAGTCTCACTCCTGAGGCGAGTGGAGTGGCCAAAGTCCCCAGCGTCCCACTGGATGCATCGTGCATCTCACCAAGCCATTTGGGATTCAAGCTGAGGCCCCGGCGAGCTTGGCCCAACACCTAGCTGAGGTTCTTGAAAGCGCTCACCGTGCAAGCCCTTGAAAAAATCACCCGGCAAATCCAGGCTATGCCTTGCGTATCCGTTCAACTTCTCGAATTCTCCGATGCACGGCAAAATCGCCCCGCCAGAAGTTGACTCCAGTCCAGCAACATACACTTGGGGGGTCCCCAGCACAGGATGAGACCCCCCCCCCCTACGGTCAATGTTGTGCTCACCCCATGTTTCTCCAAAACCACACTTAAGGCCCTGGGAAAATCCATGGGACATCTCTAATTACCAGGAGATAGTGCAGGTCAAACCTGCCCTAGCCCACCCAACGATGCACTCACCCATCCACATCCACTCCCCCCCCCCCCAACTCCCCCCAATCTGCCCGAACGGGCGCCGGCCACAAGCGCCTGCCGCAAAGGGCGAGCCAGGCAAACTTTCTGCCCTTGGTCACAAGGGAAGCGGCCCTCCGTTTCATGAAGCTGCCGGGCAGCCGCGAGGCCGAATCCACGGAGGTAGGATATCCATAGAGGGACCAAATAACACATGAGCTACCGCCAGAATTACTTGTCTTCGTCAAGCAGGTGTTGTAGTTATCGTTTTTGGTAGGGGCCCTATGGGCCTATGGGTTTACAGCGTTTCCATGTCATGGACAACATGCAAAGGGCCAGGAAAGGTCGGCTCGAACTTACATCATCACTTGGTCCACTGCGCAGTAGATACGTTGGATACGTTGGCTGTGCGCCCTCTTTTCATGTAAGTTGTGCCTCAGCCTGTTCAACCCCAAGACCAATGGTCCCGTGGAGGCCGAGGGACCAGACCAAATGCCAAAGCCACAGGAAACGCGTGCGGATGCGGATGTACAGCACATAACTACGATGTGTATATATATAATTATATAATTATATATATATATATATGTATACACATGCGGTCATGCTCAAGTTAAGTGGAACTCTACGGCCTCCTCGGAACTCAGGGTGGAACTCGTGCCTGATTGAAGCATAGCTGCAACGAGAGGCGCAAGCACCAACTCCAAGATTCTGACATGAACATTCAGCTCTCCCCCTCCCCCAACACAGGCTGCGGTCTGGAGTGCGAACTCTGTCAACGCCTTTAAGTAACTGAAGACTAGATAAGTGGGGGAATCCGTTGAATCAAATAACTTTACCATGGTGTGCTGGCCAGCTTCCATCTGGAGACTCTGTTCCCTGGCTAGCAGCCAAGTGGCGGCGGGGGTGGCAAGCTTTGGCCACAGGGCTCGGCAAACTCATAGCGTTGATGGGCGCCTTGAGCAAAAGGTGGGGAAAAAGAGGGCTGGTCGAACGCGGTCGCCTGCAAGTCCTGACCTGACTGGCAAAAAGACCCGCCGCTCATGGATGGCTGGCTGTAAGGGGCGCCGCCTTGACCATATGGAGTGCCCAGGGGCTGATCAAAGGCTGCGTCCATGGAGTGCTGCCCACAGGGCGTCCCATACTGCCCATATGGACTGCTCATGGGTGGCTGGTTGCAAGGGGCGGCGGGTTGACCATATGGAGTGCTCATGGGCTGACCAAAGGCTGTGTCCATGGAGTGCTGCCCACAGGGCGCCCCGTTGAGCGACTGCGCACAAGGACTGCTCATGGGTGGCTGGTTGTGAGAGCTTTGCACACAAGGTTCCATGGGCTGGTTGCAAGGGGCGCCGGCTTGACCATATGGAGTGCCCATGGGCTGACCAAAGGCTGTGTCCATGCAGTGCTGCCCACAGGGCGTCCCATTGAGCGATTGCCCATAAGTGCCGCTCATGGGTGGCTGGTTGTAAGGGGTTCCTCCTTGACCACATGGAGTGCCCATGGGCAGACCAAAGGCCGTGTCCGCGGAGTGCTGCCCACTGGGCATCCCATACTGCCCATATGGACTGCTCATGGGTGGCTGGTTGCAAGGAGTTCCTGCCTGACCACATGGAGTGACCATGGGCTGACCAAAGGCCATGTCCATGGAGTGCTGCCCACAGGGCGTCCCACTGAGCGACTGCCCACAAGGACTGCTCATGGGTGGCTGGTTGTGAGAGCTTTGCACACAAGGTTCCATGGGCTGGTTGCAAGGGGCGCCGGCTTGACCATGTGGAGTGCCCATGGGCTGACCAAAGGCTGTGTCCATGGAGTGCTGCCCATAGGGCGTCCCACTGAGCGACTGCCCACAAGGACTGCTCATGGGTGGCTGGTCGTGAGAGCTTTGCACACAAGGTTCCATGGGCTGGTTGCAAGGGGCGCCGGCTTGACCATGTGGAGTGCCCATGGGCTGAGCAAAGGCTGTGTCCATGGAGTGCTGCCCATAGGGCGTCCCATTGAGCGACTGCCCACCAGGACTGCTCATGGGTGGCTGGTTGCAAGGGGTTCCTCCTTGCCCACATTGAGTGCCCATGGGCTGACCACAACCCGCGTCCATGGAGTGCTGCCCACAGGGCGTCCCACTGAGCGACTGCCCACTGCTCATGGGTGGCTGGTTGTGAGAGCTTTGCACACAAGATTCCATGGGCTGGTTGCAAGGGGCGCCGGCTTGACCATGTGGAGTGCCCATGGGCTGACCAAAGGCTGTGTCCATGTAGTACTGCCCACAGGGCGTCCCGTTGAGCGACTGCCCATATGGACTGCTCATGGGTGGCTGGTTGTAAGGGGTTCCTCCTTGACCACATTGAGTGCCCATGGGCTGACCAAAGGCCGCTTCCATGGAGTGATGCCCATAGGGCGTCCCATTGAACTGCCCGCAAGGACCGCTCATGGGCGGCTGGTTGCATTGAGTGCCCATGGGCTGACCAAAGGCCCTGTCCATGGAGTGCTGCCCATAGGGTGTCCCATTGAACGACTGCCCGCAAGGACCGCTCATGGGCGGCTGGTTGCAAGGAGTGCCCATGGGCTGACCAAAGGCTGTGTCCATGAAGTGCTGCCCATAGGGCGTCCCATTGAACGACTGCCCGCAAGGACCGCTCATGGGCGGCTGGTTGCAAGGAGTGCCCATGGGCTGACCAAAGGCCCTGCCCATGGAGTGCTGCCCATAGGGCGTCCCAGGGAACGACTGCGCACAGGGACCGCTCATGGGCGGCTGGTTGCAAGGGGTGCCTGCTTGTCCACAAGGACCCATGGGCTGACCAAATGCTGCGCTCATGGGCTGTGGCGCACAGGGCGTCCCGTTTGGCATCTGCCCGCAGAAACCGCCGTTGAAAGGTCCATGCGCTGGTTGGTTGCAAGGCGTGCCCCATGGATTGGTCGGCGCCTTGCAGCTTCCAGACATTGCCTTGCTTGAGTGACCAGGGACAAACCACAGGGATTTATAGGGATGTGTGTAGTTGGCTGGTTTAAGAAACAAGAGAACCCTCACAAAAGAGGCAGAGGCGAAACAAAGGTGGACACCCTTCGAAAAGAAAAGAACAACGAAAAACACAACAAACACCCTTCAGCAAGTTGCGAATCCGTCGCTCGGCCAGGCAGGCCATGGCTGATTCCAGGGATTGCAGCCGCCGCCCGGCTGGCATGGGGCAGTTAGGAAGCCGTTCGGCGCGTCTCCTTGGCGATTCGCGTGGGTGTGTCGAACGGGGTGTGTCGCGAAACAGGGACCCTCCGTGTTTGTTGGGATGGCGTTGAGGAGACATGAGGGCTCCCGGATTCTGAGAACGGGACATGGGCATGGCTCCAGGGGATGAGTCCCCATTATTTTCAACCATCGTTTCGTTTTCCCTTGATTTTCTGGAGGTTTTCTAGAAAGATCCGGATCCCTGGAAAGAATGGGGGAGGTATCCCTATGGCTGGAAAAAACAGGTACAAGATGGGCTCAGAGCCCATGCCAAGCGGCCCTTGGGGAGCACAACACGTGGTTTCACAGGAAGCTAAATCTCTGCACTTTTCTCCACGGCTTCGTACCCTCCCTTCCCCACCCACCTCCCCCCCCTTTTCTCCGAGACCCTAGCCTATATAGTAAGAATACTTATGAGGCTCCGCATAAGCGTCCCTACAAGGCCTTGTATAAACCACCATAATCCTTATAGGCTTCCTTGTAGGGCTTCTTATATGTAAGGCTCCGTATAAGAATCCTTGCCAGGCTCCTTAGGGCACAGAATCCCTCACCTCATTGGTTCTGTCGGTTCCATCAACCCGGAGCCCAAAAGGGATGGAAAAACACAGCCTGCCAAGCTGCCAACGTTGGGCTCCTTGCGGCCAAACGCAACTACGAAGCAACAGCGGAGGCTTCCGCTTGGCTTTGGGTTTCCTTCGAAAGCTGCAAAATTGGCAGTTCCAAAACCTGCAAATGTGAATTAGATCCCCAAATTAAAGGACCTACATCATGGTAAGCTCGCTTTACCCCCGATGAGCTCGCCACGAAAAAGGAGCAGCACATCTCTGTTCCACGCTCAGTCTGATAGAAGTACGGGACATTGTCATAGAACTGGTTGGCGAGTTTGCGTTTTAGATAGCAGGCCCATTGCGGGGAAGCCTCAAACATGATGTTTGAACGCCAACTCTTAAGACAGGTGGGAAACACATCCTTCCTGAAGGAAAACCTTTTCGGGGTTGCTTCAAGGGACACCACGGAAAAGCAAACAAAAACACGCAATTCAGGCTTTCCCCAACACTGTTGGTGTCATTGTCGTTTCCCCAAAAAGTCCAACTTGTTTCAGATGGAATCCGAGTCTGGACAGCTGGCATACAGGCACTCTCCCGGCAATCTCTTTACATCTGTATCTGTCAGCCTGATCTACTATATATCTGGGCTGCCCGTTTTCAGATCCCCCGCGAAAAGTTTAACTTTCAGTGGGTTAAATGGAAACTACCACTAAACACTAAAAGGCTAAAAGGCTCAGGGGATGGCTGGGAGCCACCAAGAAATGTATATTCTTGTGTGCCAAAAGCACTTGATAGGCTACCATGCAAGAGGAGTAGTCTCACATTAATTTCACGCCCCAGCAGCAAGCCATCTGGGGAAATCCTTGCACCGTGAAGGAACCCACCTGCAAATGCATCTGTCTGACTGGGTGCAACTGCGCACCCGGGCAAAGACAAAACATGCGGGCAAAGTGTTTGGTGTCCATTACAATCCTGGATATTCGAATTGAGGAACTCTTTCGACTGTTGAACTGGAAGCCGACCATGTTCAGTTTCTTCGGAACCATCCATTTTCTCTAGTAAACTTAACCTCTATGCTGTGCACCCACTCAGCCTAGCCCTCAGCCTTCATGTTTGGAGTGGATCGCTGGCTCCGGCATTCACATGTGCCCCCATGCCAATGAGAGCCAGTTCAGGTTCAGCTTTCCCCTGGTCGGTGGCTTGCATTGGTGGTTTGTCTTGGCGGACAAATATTTTCTGAAATTCGAACACGGAGGCTTTGAACTCCCAAAAAAAACAATCGAAACCAGAAGCCGATGGGTCGGTCCCAAAAAACCAAAGGTGTCCTCGCCCTTTTCATCGCCCGCTTTCTCGTCCCCGATCAGGCCCCCAGTGGCCTCGGAGTGTCTGTGTGCGTGCGTGTGCGATGCTCGGGACTTGGACAGAGACTTCCGGCAACCAGGGCTCCAACTCCTAAGTTCACACAAAAGGCGGACTGCACCAACTGAATTTCCTGAAAATAATTAATATGGGTGTCTCTTTCGGAAAAAGCAAATTGGTGGGTTAAGGGCAAATTGAAGGAACACCGCCAGTTTTGGGGTCTGCCCAAAAAAAGACACACCCACATATCACTTTCTGGTCGTCCAATCTTGAACTGTTCTCTTCCGGCAATGCTGGAGCAAATTGTGAGGAATATTGAGGATTCCTCAAGAGCAGGGTTTGCCTACCTTCCAATCCGAAGTGGAAACTGCTGCGACATTGTGTTTGTCCAAGATACTTTCTTACTCCCCGCCCCAAACCGCTCCGCTAGATCGGCTTGAGGTGACTTCGATCGAAGCTTCTGGACAGGCGGCGATTGAATTCAAACAAGTTCCGCTTAACCCCAGGCACAAGGGATGGTGAAGGCTGCATGAGGTTTGGCTTGGGCCTATCCTGAATGTATGCCAACATGCCCAGTCTCGAATGTCAACTTCCACAAGCTTCCTTGCAAGATATGCACGGGTGGCCGTGCGCTGAAGCATTCTGCCAAACAGCCTTCAAAAACCTCCAGTGGAGGGCTCCCAATGGTGTTCCTGGTTTTCCATAAGGGACATCCAGTAAACAATGCCCTTGCGCAACGGTCCAATGGCCCGAGGCGTGCCGATCCTGTCCCCACGAACTGGATGCCAGGGAATAAGAGGCCTTTCTGCTTGGTCGGAGCAAACCCGCACTCAACAAACAAACAGTTCGGTCCCCTCAGCGGCTCGATTTTTGTTCTCCTTCCCTGTCGCCCTTCATCCTCAGCATAGACAAAGAGAGATGATGGGAGCGGACCGGGGTCAGTTCAACCTACTTAGTAAATGAAAGGCATCGCAATTTGCAGCAATGGTATGTCTACAAAACCCGGTTGCATACGTCTAACCACGGATATGCGTTGTATCAAGTAGATTGAACAGCTGAGTGTGTCCCACATTTGGCAGCGCCGATATCTGGTTGGTTTCAATCGCCTCCAAACGGCGAGTGTTCCATTTTGGCACACTCCCAAACAGTATTCCCAACAACGAAGGTCCCTGTAATATGCTTGGCTTCTTTCTGCCCTTGCAACCCCCCTCTTCACACCAACATCATTTTCTGGATTCATTCAAACGCTCGCCTGTGCCGTTGGAAGGGGAGGTTCTGGGAGCCTGGCTTGAGCAGCAGTTCTGGAAATCCTTGGCGCATGCTGCCAGCCACCCTCTAGGCAGCTGGCTTCGTGCGAATTTTCGATATGCCAAAACGGGTTGAAGCCTTTTCAGGCTGGCATCGAAGAGAAACCAATGGACAAGAATAATAAACAACTTTGAGGGCTCTGATTTTGACATGGGGCGATGGCAGTGATACGCACAGAGCCACAGCAAGACCAAACCTGGAACAATTTGCAAACATGACCGGCAGCGGCAAGAAGCTGTTGCCGTCATTTCTCAGTTCATTTTACTTGGAACTTTGCATGACCCCCAAAATAACTGCCTGACTGCAAAAGACCTCGTTTTTGAGAACCATGCCGAAAGTACTTGGAAGGGTCCTTATTCCAAGACTAACAAACAAGCCCTCTCCACCTACACTTCTCCAAGCACGACAACCCGGAATATTCCGCTGCATCGCCCGCATTCGCCCGGACAAAAGGCCAGCCATGTTTAAAAAAGAGTGGAATCGCACTTTCCAGTCGGAGAAAATAGCATTTGTGCCTCTCCTGGAGGAACCATTGCAATGGTCTCTTGGCTTCCCTAGTAAATCCCTGTCTCAATGTGTCTTCTGGCCACAGCACTCCCAAACAGAAAATCCCTCTTGTGAGAAGCAAACTATACACAGTGTTCTTGCAGTCATTTTATGAAGAAAGAAGGAAAGGTAGTTCATGGGGGGGCTGACCATATACATATATATATATATATAGAGGCAACCTACAATCTGTTGGTGGACGGTCATGTGTGTCTGGACAGCCAAGTCCGGGCTTCGGGCCAGTTCCAGGCTTGCGTGCCATAGCCAGGGCCTAGGCGCTTGTTGCACCGAACCGGTCGCAAAGAAGCGAGCCCTGCTCGCCGAAAAGAAACGACTCCAAAATGGTCTTCCGAGGGGGCGAAGGTGTCAAGTTCAGCTGCAACAAAAGCCTTTCCACATTGAAAGGCGCTTTTGTGGCAATTTCTTTGGGCATCAAATGAAAACTAAAACTGGCGCAAAAGGGGAGAGCTTGAAAGCCACTGGGCAACTGAGGGCTTTCTTCCCAACAGACACGGTAGATCGATGCTCCACTTGGGCTGCAGCTCTGATCGCCCTCTTCGCGCCGCTGCGGCAACTGGCGGAGGCGAGAAGGGCAACCAAAGGCGGAACATATCAACACCTACGTTTGTTGCTTGGAATTTGATATGATTGATAGAACTGGTGAACCATATGCCTTTTTTAACTACTGTACTCTGACGTGATGGCAACTAATCTGAAAAAATGTATGTTTACTTTTCAATAGTTACCCTAAATGAGCTATCTGATAAATTCAACATGTGAATTCCTGTGTTGGGACCTGATTGGCGTCTCCCTGTGCCGGCAGCTCGCCTATTAGTGCTGGTTGAAATCTGCCTCGGATCTTCTGCCGGTTGGGGTCCCCCGACACAGCCATACCAATACAACGAGGTTTCGTGATCGAAGGGTCAAAGGAGGAAAGCTCTGAAGTCCATTCAAGTTGCACATACATTTGCCTCAACCAAGTCACACTTTCATGGACCGCAAAGCCAACGATTCCCGGAGACCAACATCCATCGCGAGTGGATCAAGTTTAATAATAAGATGAGCGTTTCTCTCTTGGTCCAACCAACGCCAGAAAAGCGTTCAAGATCCAGACTTCAGTGTGTCAAATACTTCATCTTTCAGAGCTGCACTTCTTTGCGGCCTAAAGTCATCTGACCATCTACTTCCATCTACTTAACTTGCTGCTCAGCAGGGAATGAGGGAATGACCCCTATACACCATCCATAGGAATATCCAGGTTCATTCCCTCCCCTACTTCTCGCACCAAGTTAAACAAACATCCAGATTTCCGGGTGCGCGCCGCCGAATGAGCGCTTTCCGGGCCTTACCCCGGCACGGACCTGGCGACCGAGCCAGCTGGCGTGGCTTTCCTTGAGAGAATTCTCAAATGACAGCAGGGCGTGTCTGAAAAATCGAGGACCCCCTAAAATTGGGTTTCCTCTTGCAACCTTCGAAACTGTCCAAAAGCTGTACCTACAAAAAAAAACATGTCCAGAAAGTCCGAACAATTTGTAGTGGGCCGTGGTCATAGGCCCCTTAGAACCCCTTAATCCGCAGTAACGGGTCCATCCCTAACAACCTCAAGTGGAAGGCAGTTGGACAATGGCATAGATGGTACCAACGGTACAGTGGGCGGGCTTCCTATTGCTGAGAGTACCTTTGTGCGGATGGCTTAAAGGTGGGTTTGCAGGCAAATCACGTTTGTTGGGGTTCCTTCCTTTTTACAGACCCCATGCGAGTGGGAGACTCACTCACTGCGAAGCCAAAACCAAGCTCAGCGCACAACTCCAACTCCATACTGCAGGACAGCCAGGCCACCGAACAGAGACAACCTGAAACTTGAAGACGCGCTCTGTGAACATGTCCTGTGTGCTCTCTTAGCTCACATGCGAAAAAACTATAGCACGCGATACTTCTGATGCAATTACCAAGCCGGAGCGAGAGTTCCCCACGAACGGAACCTTCATCGCGAGGCCTGAGGCACAAAATGGTAGATCAATCCTTTTGCAAGGTCGCCACGGTGTATGAGGGGACAAGACAACTTTGTTGTGTAAATTGCCAAGGTCCGGTGGTCGATTCACTTTCCAAGCTGCCAGTCGTATTTGTGCGTGTCTTCTTTTCGGGAACCCCCAAAATGATGATTATCAGTTATCCTTTTGGTTTCCCCTTAAAACCACAAAGCGTAAATATCCTCAAATAAAGACAGACCCCTTTTGTTTGCTCCCGTGAAATACTGCCCATGCGATGGAGGGCAGACACGCATACCCATGGTGCATACCCTCTTGTCCACTAACACTAACATGGAACCCACCAGAGGGTACCTTTGAAAGGAACATATTTTGCAGTGTCCCTCAGTCAGGCTCCACGGCGACGTGGACAGCTTGGGATCTGTTTCCCGAAGTGGTCACCCAGAGAAGCCGCGCCTTGGCAAGGCATTGGTGCACCATTGCAACCTGCGCGGGAATTGGTTCCAGGTCAGGTTCGCCTCGGCCTCGGGGGGGGGGGGAGGAGTGAGACGCACTGCCAGGGGAACCGTATCCCCGAAGGGAGGGTACCTTGTGGTAGTAGAGAATGTATTGGTAGGTCCTTTTTGTACTGGCTGCAGGATGAATGCAACGGTACTACAAGATAGGGCCTTGAGCCAAATAGCATGCGTGTGGTGCAGGGTCAATTGCGAAGCAAAAGCAACACAAAAACAGACACAATTTCTTTTGACCCTGAACACCAAAATGGCAGCCGTAGCCATACTTATGCTTGCCGTAGCCATATCGAAAATTAAATCATCCTATTTCTGTCGCGGATGAAATGTCTTGTTGGCAGAACGGGAAATGCTTTGTACTGATTGGACGAGATACCTAACTGTATATGTCTTGTTGGCAGGGCGGAAATGTGTGAAACTTTGTACATGCGGGATTGTGCGAAACTATTGATCACTCACGGGCATAGTCTTGATGTGCAGGAGGATCAATCGATTGGAATTCGTGGTGTCGTTTTCCGTGTGATGGTTCTCAGCGTGGATTGTTGTCATAGTATCTCATCGCTTCTGCGAGTACCAACGGTAGCTGCTATCGGATTGGCTTGCGTATCCTCCGCCATAATCCTCCCATCCTTGGTAGCCGGAGCTCTTCTATCCTTGCTGATAGGATTGGTTCCATGGCTTCCATGCTGTCTCATTATCCTTCTTCTTGTTCTGATTGTACTCCTTCTTGCGGTGGTAATTCCTTTCTTGATCAGCTGCAAGGCTGCGAATGTAGACCAGCAATGGGGTATGAGAGTCGGAGTCGCATGGTCCAAGCATTAGCATCTCATTGTTGGTGTGCTTGTAGCGCTCGGCGGAAGTGACCTTGTAGTCGGAGATGGCCTTGTCAACATCTTCGATCATGGAATCCATCGTATCTTGGTCGAGCTTGGCAATCTCGAATTGACGGAATTCTTGTTGGATGTCAGTCCTTCCCCAGCTGAACACGAAGGTCATCATGCAATCCGGAAACGTTCTGTCAAATCCTGAACCTTCTTTCATGTAAAGATGGTGACGAGCAATGGATGTAATTGTGCGAGAGGTCGACATGGTGAAATCCATTCGCTCCGCCAACGGCATGTCTTGTGCTCCATTCCAGAGGTTCTTGAACTTACCCATAATGTAGTTCATAAGGCCGTGCTCAGGATTGTAGACGGATTGTAGCTTACTGAACGTATTTGCGGACTTGTTGGCGTCGCCTGTGATCGCATCGCAGTGGTACTCAGTGACGAGCGGCATGATGCCTTTCTGTACGTCGTCTGTTGCTGCACCATGGCTGACGTTCGGATGAGTATGGAAAACTCCAACGGTGGCAAAGGGAAGGTAAGCTCTTGTGACATGGCGGGCGTCGTAGGAGAGAACAGGGTTCTGAGTGGATTTTGGAAATGTTCCACGAATCTCATTGTTCTGCTCAATGTGGATGACGACAATCTCGCTGTTCTTGCCATGCCATTGTACGGTGGTGCGTGGCGGCAATCTCTGTCCAATATGCTTCTCCTGGTTGAGGAACATGGATGTTCCGGTGGATGCCAAACAGTCGGGTGTTGGAATATCATAGTCCGGATCATTGCAACCGTCTTCGAGCACGAAGAAACATCTGAACATTCCAAATGTTGAATTCGTTGAAATGTAACGTGCCAACAGTTCGACTCTGGCGTGTTTCCCACCTCGGACAACTCGTTAATGCAAAGGATAAGCGCACTGCTCTGCATCATCTGCATGATGAGCGGTCGGTGCTTGATTGGCCATGACTTTAGTTCTTTACTATCCAGCTTTGGACTCCTTGTGAGGTTCCCGTGATTCACCGTCAGGATGTTGAGGGAGATGCTGGATGGATAGTCTTTTCTCTTGAGGTAGTCGACAACTTGGCCATCAGTTCCTTGCATCACTTAGCCGGCTGGCTAATGTTAACCCGGTTATAAACGTTTAGTATCTCGGCTAAGTTGGGTTATAAGCCTGCCAAACTCCAGCGCAAACGAGATAAATTGGCTAAACCTATATAAGGTTTATAAGCCGCTTCTAAGGTTTACCAGAATCTATCTAGGGATTATAGGAAATATCACCCGCTTTATAACCCCCGTTGTAAACCCCAAGCTAAACACTTAGCAAACATGGTCGCAGCCCTTATAAGGTTTAGCGGGGTTAGCTTTTGGGATCTGTTTTCGGGGCAAATACCCTTAGCAGACTTAGCTTTTTTCGAGCATAGTCCGCAGCACGCAAGAGGGAAGCCGAGTCGCTTTTGTCTCGCTTCTGCGCATGCCGCCGCGGGCGTGAGCCCGCGCGGCACCCGCGCAAGACATGCATGACAGCGCGGACGCTCAGCTCAAGCTCGCTGCAGTCATGCAGCAGCAGGTGTACCAGGACTACACGGCCTTGGCCAACTACGCGGCCCCGGACCGGCTGGCTGTGCACGTCCCGCTCGCGCACAAGGTGAACTACGTGCTGCAGCTGTCTCTGCGGCTGGGCTTGCGACTGCCCTCGCAGAAAACTATGGGAACCATGACCGCGCTGCTCATGTACGTGCCAGGCTCTTGCTTGTCAAAGTTATCTGGGTGCTTGCAAAGTTCTTCAGGCTTTGCATGCTATTTTTCTTGCAAGCCATACACACAACATGTCCCCAGTCCCCAATATGTGTCCGCGCAGGCATGACCGAGCTGGATCCGCAGGCTGCCCACAACATGTGCGTCCACATGAAGACGCGCTGGAAGGCGGCGCTCGCAGCCGCTGTGCAGCTGCCTCAGCTGCTGACCAGGCTGCCGGATGCTCCAGCGGACCTGGATGCGGCCGTTCTGGAAGCAGCTGGCTTGCAGGGCCACACCGTGACGGAGGCATGGGCGACGGCCGTGAGCGCTTTGGCAACACGCGTCCCCTTGCGCAAGAGCCACTCAAGTGTGCGGTGCGCTTTCTCTCCGACCTTGCCGGTGAGCCATGGCGCGCAGCAAGGCAACGTGGCCAATATGGCTGTGCAGCTTCTGCAGCAAGCGCTGCGAGGGATGCAAGGCGGCCCGCAGCCCTGCAACTTGCAGTTCACGGAGAGGAGGTCGGCTGGCGGGGCGCTTGCGCAGCAGCTGGGCGACCTGTTCGGTGGCAGCAGCGGCAGTGCTGACCGAGAGGTCGTGCAGCAGCAGGCCAGCCCGCAGCTGGCGCTCCCGGCACCTGGGCCTCCCTCGGCTCCTGAGCCTCAAGAGGCGGCTCGCCCGCAGGCGCAGCAGCAGCAGCCGCTGCCGCAGCAGCAGGACCCCAAGGAGGCGCCTGAGGAGAACACTGACGACGTCGTCAACGCCGTGCAGCGTCTCCGTGTCGGCATGGCCATGAAGCGGCCCGCCGCGCGGATGGACAGCCCGGCACGTGCTCCCGCGGCACCGAAGGCCCAGCCAAAGGCGAAAGCCCCGGCCAAGCCTAAGGCGAAGGCCCTGCAGGTAAAGCCTAAGGCGAAGGCCCAGGCAAAGCCTAAGGCGAAGGCCCAGGCAAAGCCTAAGGCGAAGCCCGCTGCGCGGCGGCCGGTCCGGGTGAAGTACAGCAAGACTCCGCCCAAGACGCTCCGGCACAAGTTCCAGGCGGGATGCGGACGGTGCCGCTACGCGCTGGGATGCACCCCTTCGTGCTGGAGGCTGAGGGGCTACTAGGTGGGGACTGGTGCTGGCTCTCGTCGCTGCCGCTCCCGATCAGACTCAGCCAGCGCAACAACGCAAACAGCTTTCTCGCATGACAGTTAGTTACTAAAACTGCATGAGACGATGTCACTGATCGGGTTATGGCGGCGGAGAGCCGCACCTTGGGCTGCCGCAAGCGCATATGGGTGTGTTTTTTTTGACGTCCACTCAAGGCAGCCGACGGGCCACCACACTGTGACTTACGCAAAAAAACATGCCCATATAGCGGCGTATGGGGGGAGGGGGGCGGTGCGCGCCATATAGGCGCGTCACTCTGTGCGGCCTCGGGGGTGTGCGCACTTAAGTGCCAATGCGTGTGGAGGCTTAGCGTCTCACAGAGCACGCGCCGTATAGCCATCGCCAAGAAAAAAAAGAAGCGCGCTTGTCCGCCGCGGCCACCTCCGCGCGGATGTCACTTGCAGCGTGCGCACCGTGGAGAAGAAAACATAACCTTAAGACAGCACGAAGCAAGCAGTCGCGCAAACTAAAGCCAACACAGCCTACACAGTACAGAAGCAGTCAAGGTCAGAAAGAAAGTCAGAAGCAAGCACGGAAATAAATAAATTCGCAAAGCAAGCAAGAACAAAAAGACAAACAGCGGTCGAAGTAGTTAAGGAAACATACCTAACTAACACCGCCGCGGCCACGGCCGCGCGGTGGACGCGTTCATGGCTTTTTTTTTGTGTGTAGATGTCGCTGCGGCCCACGGCGGCCGCGCGGCCATGTCATGCGCTGCGCTTGCACTTGCACATGCTGCGGCCACGGGCCCGCAGCCAATGGGAAACACTCCCATACACGTGACGATAAGGGCGGGCGAGATCCGATGGCGGAGAGGCTCGCGCCGCCGAAGGCGCCGCCGACGGCGCCGCAGCAGCAGCAGCCGGAGCAGCAGCAGCCGCAGCAGCAGCAGCCGCAGGCGCACTAGGCACAGAGCCAGGAGCAGCAGCAGCAGTCGAAGCCGGCACGGCGGCCGTGTGCCGCGAAGGGACACCGCGGGACCGGCGGCTCCCGCTGGGCCAGCGCCGGCGGCTCCCGCTGGGCCAGCGCCCGTTGTGCCGAAGGAGCCGCTGTCGCCGACCTCTGAGGCGGCGCCCGCCCAAGAGCCGACCTCTGAGCCGCTGACGCCCACCCCAACTGCAACGCCGGTGTCAGCGCTGCTGGAGCAGGCGATGGAAGACCTCGCCGCCGCTGCTGGTGGACTGCCCCGGGAGGCGCTGCCGCGCCTGCTGGCCGATGACTTGCCACTGGGGGGTGCACCAGTCACGCTTGCGCCAGCCGAGCC